ATTCTAAAATCAAAAAGCATTTTGGCATGGAAGATTATCTCACATCAATTTATAATAAATCGTTCACAACTAGCATAACAAAATTGAGAATCAGCGCACATTGTCTTCAAATCGAAAAAGGTCGACACCACAACACACCAGCCACTCATAGACTGTGTCCCACATGTAATGAGAATATTGAAGATGAATTTCACTTTGTTATGACATGTCCCACCTATAGAAAAGAAAGAGATTCACTGTTACAGACTATTACCACTAAGACAAATTTCACCCAATCTAGTACACAGTACGATACATTCTATGAATTATTGTCATGTCCTACTACCATATCTGCTTACGTAGGTCAATTTCTGTACACCTTATTTCATAAGCGAGACCAAATCATCAATTCATGAACATATTGTGACTCATATAATGTATAGATCATAAGTAGTTTGTAGTAAGACATGTAATAAGATAGTTTAGTTTTATAAGTATTGTTGTATTACTGCCACACATTGTACCATGTACGATTGTCGAGCAATAAAGTTCATTCATTCATTCATTCATATCAAGTCCCAAAATCAAACAAGAACCATGTAAAATCAAAAACTGACATACAATAAAAAAAACAGCATATAAAAGCACAAAAATAATAACTTGTAAGCCTCACCCCATGACAGTCTTATCTTAAGTTAACAAAGAAGGAACCCTGGTAAATATAAGGATGGCAAACGGGCCAAAGTACACTAGCTAAAATCATACTAAATACAAACATTATTTAGTTCTTTCCCTATTTGAAATTTGGAAAAAGATGCAATTCTTTTGGACATTGGACAATTTACAAGAGATGTTCCTCAACTAAAGACTGAAATAAACCCTACATGCATCCAAAGTTATCTACAACAAACACGTGTACTACTGCAGAAACTAGAACCTTCTCTCAAGCCTTTCTCCCTTCAAACTTGACTCTATTAGAACAAATGCACAAAGCTTTGGCTAATATCTGACATCATATATTCAATATCTCTTACCTGCAATAGTATAAATCCAAAACCCAATTTCCAGGGGTTTAAATTAAGGGTATGACAAACGATGATGTCAATATTCTTGTTGAACATGAATCATTTACCACAACTCTGGTATTAGTCACAGATACAAACTTGGCAATCTATTTATTACTGTACAACAACAATCTCAGAAGGGGGTTAAAGGAGCTGCTCTGGTGGACTTGACGGTATGAAAGGTGTTGTTAAAACCCCCGAGCAGACCCTCCCCTCCCCCTGCCGGTGAGTCTGTGTCCCATCAGCTGACATGGCAGGATGGATGTGAAGTTGGGAGGGACAAGGCTTTGTCTCCTCAGGGTCTGCCCAACCACAACATTAATCTCATTAATCCCACCTGTCAATCAAA